TGTCTAACTAACTTCAATCCATTCACTCTATGGAATGATCTGTTTAAAACAGCTGTATTCTAACCCTTGAGGAAGATGGTGTTGTTGGAAACATAAAAATCTCGTGTTCCTCCTATTCCTCCCATTTTCCTCCCGAGGCCATCTAACCTGCTGACTGCCTTGGAGACTTTCAGAAATGTACGCCACAGTATTAGCAATGCAGCTTGACTCCCTTTACCTAGGTCAGACTTCGCAGTAAGGCTGGGACCTTTCCCAGAACCCTTCATCCCATTGAGACCAGTCTCTGTGTGTCTGTCTCGGTGTCTCTCCATATGCCATAGAGCATGTGTGGAGGTCAGAGAACAACTCATATGGGTCCCAGAGAACTCAGGTTGTCAGGTTTGGTGGCAAGTGCCTTTACCAGCTGAACCATCCCTCGGCCTCTTTGTGGTTTTTGAATGAATAAAGGAATACCAGGGTGGTGTATTTGAGCCAGGCAAGGCGTGGCCCTGTAGTCCCTGTCATCAGAGTCAGCTCCTGGTGCACAGGAAGAGCAGTTGCTGTCATACTCACACTTGTCCATGGGGCAGGCCCACAGCGCTCCCAGGTTATCATCTTTCCACAGCTGCAAGACACAAGCACAGCCCCTGCTTGGTAGTCAAGGCCTAATCATTTCTGCCCAGCTTGCTCACATTCCTAGCCTCAGTTATGCGTACTTCCCTGCCCAGAGCAGGCTCCTGCATGTGCCTCTGCTCAAGCTGAGCCTAAGCTGAGCTCTGTGCCAAGAGGGGCTTGGAAGACAGTCTTCCTCGAAGCTCTTTCCAGAACCTAACGCTTACTGGGGGTATGTATCACTTAGCTGATCACTAGCTGGAAATGAGTACCCGAGGGACAGGAATTTTATGCTCCTACCCTTTACCTCCACAGGGCAAGACACAAAGCAAGCAGAGCTGGTAGGCCAGTGCTGGCTTGAAGGATCTTGCCTGTAAGCACTAGGACAAGTCCTGTCACCAACTCACTTGCACACACTGGTGTGTCCGGAAGTCTTGTAGCAACTGTTCTCCAAGGTGAGCAGCTCTCTGTCAAGTCAAGGGAAGGGGGCTGTCACGTAAGGTGCCGTGGTGGAGCAGAATTGTCTGTGGAGAGGAGCTGGGAGACTTGGGAAGCCATTGAGAAGGCATGGACACACACACACTCACACACTCACACACTCACACTCACTGTTCCCATAGAGCAGTACTGGGCCTGGCAGTGGGATGGAATGAGAAGATAAGGCCACGACTGGGATGGATCTGGAAAGGTCTGGTGGGAGGTTCCCTGGTCCTTACCGTGGAGGTGTTGCTGGGCAGTGCTATACAGCCACTGGATTCCAAGGCACAGACTGATGTATCGTTGAGGTCAGTTCTCATCTCCACTAACAGCATATCATTGTTGAAGGGCCCCAGGGAGTCTGGGGAGTGAGAAGCCACTCTAGTAAGACCCACTTGGGAGTTGCCACCTGCCTTCCTCCAATCCCCTGACCTTCACCCCTAGGAGCCGCTCCTCCATGGTCCACCCCATTGCGAGGGGCCCTGTCCCAGCCCCCTCAAGCCCCACTCACCAGCCCACAAGCACTCTTGGAACTGTACCTTCTCCCAGCTGCTCACCTGCTTAGAAGGGGCCAGAGTTAGGGGCACTAGGAAAAGCAAGAGCCAGGGCCGGAAAGTCCACAAGGGAGGGAGCAGGCAAGAGGAAGCCCGTCAGGCCGGCTCTGCACTCTGGACCTGAGCAACGTTGGGCACATCTGGGTTCAGGCTGCAGGACTAGGACTCACCCATCTTTCTCAGAGCAGACCTTGTGAGATCACCTGTGCTAACAGAGCTTGCAGCCTTACAGCCCTTTGGGTCTTGAAAAAGCACTTAAGAGACCTGTCCCCATCATGTTACCTCAGAGGAGATTCATTCTTAGCCTCCCTCAGTCATCCACATTCTTCGCCTTTTACCACAGCACGGATTTCACTTTAACATGGTCAGTTATACATGTTGTTCACCTTTCTTCTCTAGAAATAGGGTCTATGATGGATGATAGGGGCAGTTGTTTTGTTCACTGACATATCTGTCTTAAAGTGACTGGCATGTAGTAGTCAATAAATCTGTTTTGTTTTGAAACAGTTTCAATCATTAGCCTAGGCTGGCTTGTTATTCACTCTATGTCTCAGGCCAGCATATCTTCCTATCTCAGCCTCCCAAGTGCTAGGAATATAGGTGTGAGCCACCATGCCCAAATAAATATTGAATGCATGTTTTTATTTTTTAATTTAAAAATTATTTTTAATGTGTCTGTGCATGATGTGTATGATGGTACATGAGTTCCAAGGAATGCATGCAGAGGTTGTAGCTTGGGGAGGGGAATTGGTGCAGGGTCCCACCCTCAGCCCAATGTTTTTGATCACCATTCTGACCTGGACACAAAGGTTGGGGTGGCCTCTCACCGACTGGAACTCATGAGGCATCTGTAGAAGGCAGGGAATGAGTGAAGTCACCAAGGGAGACCCTGGGGTCCCTCTTTCTCTCTCCATCCTGGGTCTGCCTTTGACCTCACATTCACAGTGACATTCTCCTGGCGCATTGGTGGCACAAGTGGCTGGCAGGGACCCTGGTCTGGTACCTGCCAACACAGTGCCACTTTGGCCAGCAGAGAGCATGGTGCATCTAGCTGCCATATTCCCGAGGACGGCACCTTCAGCCTGGCTGTGTGCCAAAGGTTCCGGTGTGCACGGGGATCTAAAGCAGAAGGCCAAGGTTACTAAATGTGAATCAGCTTCCCCATGCTGCCCCTCGCCATAGGAGATTCACTCACCTTCCCGGAAGGGGCAGAAACTGGTCCTAACAGAGTCTGGCTCCAAGGGCCACACCTGGGAAGAAAAAAGGGCTCTAAGTCAATTCAACCCAGCCAGCCATCGGTGGGCATTTGTCAGACCCTGCTGAGTACCAGGCCATTCACTGAGGCAGGCCTCACAGAACTTGCCAGGTTTCTAACCTCTCACAGAGCTCGTGAGATAGGAATATGGGTTCTCGAAGTAAACACTGCCATGTGCACTTAGAACACCTTCTCTCAACTTTCGGGCTTTTTGTTTTTGTTTTTCTATTTTTGATACAGGGTCTCACTATATAGCCCTATCTGGCCTGGAACTCAGAGATCCACCTGTCTTTGCCTACTGAGGGGTGGGATTAAAAGCATGCATCATCATACCTGGCTTTTCACCCACCTTTTAATGAGTGCCTACTATGTGTCTTAGTGTGGTATACACAAAGAGTAAGATTATTAATCTTGATTCACTTCACAACCATTTTGTGAATACTGTGTATCATACTGTGCTAGGTTTTTTAAGAGCATCTACTATGTGTTTGACACTATGTGAGAAAATATATGAATTTATTCATTAAATGTTTAATTGAGAGCACCTACTGAGTGGTGGGCATCGGACATAACAATTCAGACAGTTAAATCACAGTAAATATTCCCTGAACATCTGCCTTGTGTCCTCCCATTGTGTTTGGCAGTGTGGATTTGTTCATTCATTTATATAGTCAGCAATTAGCACCCACTATATGCCAAGCCCTGTCCCAGACTCTGGCAAAGTTACTGTATTTGAATAAAATATGCTTTGTTTGCCTTCAAGGAAGTCACAGACTCATAGTTACAGTAGGGTTAAAACATGTAAATGCTAGTCACTTGCCCACTTTCAAATATTCAATGAGCATCTTATATATACAAAAAGAAATCAGAAGCCCAAACGTTAAAAAAAGTGACACATGGATAAGAAAAGCCGGAAGAACAAGGGGGATTGGATACTAGGAAAGGCCAGGATACTGGAGAAGCTTTGGGAAAGAGGTGATGTGAACTGGGAAGCTTTGGTTACATGGAAGCAGTGGTAGGAACCGCCTGAGCAAAGGCAGGGTGGGTGTGTCTCAGCAGCTCCACTGGCTGTCACAGACTTCTCATAAAGGAGAATTTGGAAGAAAGTCTACTGGAAAGGATGCAGTTGAAGGTAATCTAGAGATCCCAGGACGCCAGAGAGGCACAGAAAGGGAGGCAGGGAGTAAAGGTTATTGACAGACCACCGGAGAGATTATAGAGGTTATTGACAGACCACAGGAGAGATTATAAAGGCCTGAAATGAACTGAAGACAGAAAGGAAGGAGAAAGAATGAGCAAGAGGTCGAGTGAATGGGACTCAAATAAATCAATGTACAATCAGAGGGAGTGGCTGCAGTCCACATTTAAACCTAGACGTGGCACCCTTCTTTACAGCCTATGCAGATGGTACAGCCTCTCCAGATCACATATAGGAAGCAGGCTCAGAAAGGCAGTAGCTTGCCCAAGGTCAGACAGTAAATGGCAAGAAGGATTCCAACTCATTTAAGTCCATAGCACATGTCCAACCAACCCTTCACAGGGGCACAAAGAAAGAACTAGAGTAGGAAAAGGTGTCAAGGAAGAGGTGACATCTGAGCTACCATGAGGAACAGTCCTGTGAAGAAAGGAACAGGAACATTCTGGACACACAGCAAGCAGAAGGCACAGGACAGTAAGAGGAAGGGACATCCAGCCACCCAAAGTGGCCATGGTCTCTACCTCAGAGAACAGTGACCCTGGAAGATTGGAGGTCATCCCTCTATCTCCCTAGCCCCTGTCTCCCATTGGCAGGTGGATTCTGCTCCTACCTGAATGCAGAGGCAGGGAAACAGGTCTGTGTGGTTTAAAGTAATAGTCTGTGGTCCAGTCTGTGGGATGAGAGATGGAAGTGAGTTAAGGGAAGGTAAGAAGGGGAAACAGGGAGGTCCAGAGTTGAGGGAACCAGACAGACAGACACCCCTGTGCCCCACCAAGGTCCTCTGCTTTAGGTGTGTCCCCTTTGACAGTCTGCACACACCCTTAACATGGTCATGAACTCAGGGTGAATGTGGACCTGGAGAAGCCTCACCAGGTTTTTGTACTTCCAGGATTTGAGAGGACCCTGGACCTGATCCCAGTACAGTAAGAGGCCAAAGTCCTGTTCCTCAGAGACGTCCAGTACCAAACGAACGTTGTCACCATCTGCAGACACATTGAGCCAGGGCAGGGCTAGTGGGAGCAGAGAGAGGAGACTCCCTTCACCTTTTCTGCACAACCAAGCCTGAGGTATACTCACCATACTCACCAACTGTCCCATTGGAAATTCCATGAAACCCTCAGACTAGGAGGCCCTTGGAGGACAGATTGTATCCCCATCTCATACCAGACTTTGTCCCCAGCCACAAGCCCAGAGCCAAGCCCACAGAAGCTCCAGCTTGCGTCTTGGGACAACTCTTCTTCCTCTGCAGCCAGTGGAGTCCTGCTACCTCCTCAGTGCCAATTACTTTCCCTAGACTCTGCTTATGACCCACACAGTAATACCAGTGAAAGCTGGACTCCTTGCAGAGGCTTGCAAGGCCTTAACCAGCCTAGTTTCTCTAACCTCTGTTAGTACCCATATCTTGAATACTTTGCTGCAAATATACAAGGCTCCTTCATATTCCTTAAGCGCACTTGAGACCTTGATCCTGCCCCAGGGCCTTGCTGCACTCTTCCTATGGAACTCTCGTCTCCTCCTTCACGTCCCTCACTACAGTGAGGCTATCTCACTACTGCAGCTCTCAATGGCCCCATCCCTCCTCTTGAGTTTTCTCCATAATTCTAGTCACCATCTACTGTATACTTTTTTTTTTTTTTTTTTGGTTTTTCGAGACAGGGTTTCTCTATGGCTTTGGAGGCTGTCCTGGAACTCACTTGGTAGTCCAGGCTGGTCTCGAACTCACAGAGATCCGCCTGCCTCTGCCTCCCGAGTGCTGGGATTAAAGGTGTGCGCCACCAACACCCGGCTTATACTGTATACTTTACATCTACACAGGTTTATTGGATCTTCCCTCAACCCCCTAAGCCTAAGCCTAGCCCTAACCATAACCCTAAATCCTAGCTCCTTATCATGTTTGTTTATTAATTTACTTCCCGGCTGTACCTGTATCTGGTACAGAGTAATTACTCAGCCAATATTTGTTGAATAAAGAAAGCAATCACCACTGAGTGACAAGATGAGATGCCTGATGTGTGTCTGTTTTCAAAGTGACAAGATGAGATGCCTGATGTGTGTCTGTTTTCAAAGTGACAAGATGAGATGCCTGATGTGTGTCTGTTTTCAAAGCTCCGGTGCCTAGTGATCTTTAGAGAGTGCCAAAGAGGAAGGCCAAAAAGAAAATGGAGTTGAAAAGAAGAAAGAGGAGAAGATTTCATAGTTTAAAAACTGCCACAGGATTTATGCCTTTGCCTTATGCTAGTTATAGAAGTCTACACATATGTAAACACTAACACAGCTGCGCTGGATGTGGAGACATACACCTGCAACCACAGCTTCTTGGAAAACTAAAGCAGCAGGATTTCAAGTTCAAGCCTAGCATGGACAACCTAGCAAGAGCCTGTCAAACCAAAACAACCTAACTACCCAACCACTTCACTGAACTAAAACCAACACACTTTGCTGGGCATGATGGCACAAGTTCAGTCTCAGCACTTGGTAGGCAGAGGCAGTAGATCTGTGTGAACATGCGATGTCTCTGGTTTTAATAGTGAGTTCCAGGCCAGTAAGAGCTACACAGTGAGACCTTGTCTCAAAATAAAAAAATCATTATACTTACAACTTTTTGTATATGCTATATATGCAAGATACATTTTCTTTAAAAAAAAATATGGCCAGGCGGTGTTGGCACACGCCTTTAATCCCAGCACTTGGGAGGCAGAGGCAGGCGTTATCTCTGTGAGTTCAAGACCGGCCTGGTCTACAAGAGCTAGTTCCAGGACAGCCTCCAAAGCCACAGAGAAACCCTACCTCAAAAAACCAAATAAATAAATAAAACCAAAAAAAAAAAAAAAGAAAATATGAGGAGTTGGAGAGATGGCTCAGAGGTTAAGAGCATTGACTGCTCTTCCAGAGGTCCTGAGTTCAATTCCCAGTAATCACATGGTGGCTCACAATCATCTGTAATGAGATCACTACCCTCATCTAGCTTGCATGGATGCAGGCATAAAGCTGTACACATAATAAATCTTTTTAAAAAAGAAAATATGAAACAAAAGTAACATCAAATTCTTGACTTTCTAGGTTCCTATTTCAGGTTTAGTATCATTTCCACTTTGGCCTATGAAGAAAGACACCATAATCTTGACAGTGCTTTGGGCCACTATATGTTCCTGGTATTAGTGAACACTTGTTATAAGAAAAAGATTCACCTTTATATTTTCAATGTCTGGAAATATAAATGAAGTAATACTACAGCTCATGTGGAATGAGTGAATGAATGAATGATGGAACATGTCCTGTGACTTTCAGAATTTGGTATCACAGAGCTGAAGTCAACCCCAAGTACACATTGTGTGAACTCCAGACCCTGCTCCTCCCTCCATGCAGCCCACGGTCCCTAGCCCCTACCCCAGCAGCTCTGGATGCTGTCCCGGACTTCAAGACCCCTGCAGTCTGGGGAGAGATCACAGAAAAATCTCCAGTGGGGCTGGGGACCAAGGAAAGAAGGATGGCAATCCAACCCATGGGGAGACACTGAGGGGCTGCCTCTGCCCTGAAGACCACCCACATTTACATGGGTGCAGAACACCCATCCCAGGAGCTAGAAGCACAGGGAACTGACTAAAGAGGGTACTAGCTCATATCCCTGCCTGAAAGTGATGGGAAGAGGAAGAAGGGGAGTGACCAGAGGGACCACAGACCAGGGACAAGGGCTTTGGGTCACTTACCAGGCAGCTGTTGTGTGAGGTTGAGTTCTTTCTGGTATCTGGGTTGTGTATAGGACCAGATTCGCACCTGGGCCCCAAGACCAGCCTCAAAACAGTCGAACACTGCAGAGCCCTATGAGGAGAGGGTGGCAGTGGGCTGGAGATGGGGGGCTCAGAACCCAGGCCAAGATCTTGGGCTCATGTAGGTAGACCACTCTGCTTACCCACTGACTTTTTATGTTTGTTTTGTTTTGTTGACACAATTTTTTCTGTGTATTCCTGGCTATCCAGGGAACTCACTTTGTGGACCATGCTGGCCTTGAACTCATGAAGCTCCACCTGTCTCTGCCTCCCTAGTGCTAGGATTAAAGACATGTTTCTTTTTTGAACAGGTCCCTGGTTCTAAACCAAGTATCTTCTGTAGCTGTTTTGGCAGGTTTGAGATTAACCAGGCTATCTGAGTTGCTGACTATGCCTGCTGTCATGGACCACTTGGCTAGAGGGAAACTGATTAGATACACTAATGCAAGCATCTTTTTTTTTTTGTTTTTTTTTTGTTTTTGTTTTACGAGATAGGGTGTCTCTGTATTGTTTTGGAGGCTGTCGGTCCAGCCCAGCCTTGAACTCACAGAGATCCGCCTGACTCTGCCTCCTGAGTGCTGGGATTAAAGGCATGCGCCACCACCGCCCGGCTAATGCAAGCATCTTAATGGTGCTCATGGCTGCACTGTGAAGAAAAAACGAAGCAGATACATGAAGTATTTTACAGATACCAACTCTGTTAATATACTCAACAGTTAGCCGGGCATTAGTGGCGCACGCCTTTAATCCCAGCACTCAGGAGGCAGAGGCAAGCGGATCTCTGTGAGTTTGGGGCCAGCCTGGTCTACGGAACGAGTTCCAAGACAGTCTCCAAAACAAAACAATACAGAGAAATCTGAAATCCTGTCTCGAAAAACCAAAAATAAAATAAAATCAATACATGTATATATTCAACAGTTAAAGGAGCTATGACTTGTTTTTGACTGTGTGTGTGTGTGTGTGTGTGTGTGTCTGTGTCTGTGTGTGTGTGTGTCTGTGTCTGTGTGTCTGTTTTGCTGGGAATCAAACCTAGGGCCTTGAGCATGCTAGGCAAGAACTCTACCACTGAGCTACATTCCCAGCTCTTTATTCTTATGCTACAAAGTCATCAAAAGCTTGAAAGGACATTTCATGAAGGAAGTTATAAACAGCCAGTAAGCATGTAAAAAGTGTTTGACTGTTAGTCATCAGGGATATACAAATTAAAGCTGTAATGAACACCAAACACAGTGGCATGTACCTGTAGTCCTAGCACTCAGGAGGGTGAGACAGGAGAATTTCAGTCTAGACTACACAGCAAGATTCTGTCTAATAAAAACAAGGGCTGAGGATATAGCTCAGCAGTAGATGATTGCTTAGCATATACAAAGGCTTTGGTTCCATCCCCAGCATGCCCCTCCCCCACATTCATACACACAAATCACTAACAAAAACACCAGCCCTGGGCTGCCTAGAATCCCAGTAGGTAAAGTACTTTCTACCAAGCTTGACAACCTGAGTTCAATTCCCAGGACCCTTATGGTAAAAGGGGGAAAACAGACTCTAGATTGTCCTCTGCCCTCCATCTAACCCCCCCCAGGACACATTATACATACACAATAAATAAACAAATGTAATTTAGAAGTATAAACATTACCACCACACATGTACACACAAATCCCCAGTTATAAACCACTACATACATAGCAATGGTTAACACTTGAATTTTAAAATGCCAAGTGTTGGCAAAGACAGAAGCATTGGAAGCCCTATTTGCTGCTGGTGAGTGTATAAAATAAAATTGCCCCAGCTAACTGCGTAGTGACTTCTCACCAAGTCAAACATGTGAGGCAGGAGAGTCCTTACCCTCATTTTACAGACAGAAAAGCCACCACAAAAGGCTCAATGCTCAGATCAGATCCAAGATTTAAAGACTCTCTGCACAGGATTGTGGTGGTAATGTCAGACTGTGGTGGGAATGTCAGAATGATTTGGTGGGAACGACAGATTTGGTAGGAATGTCAGATTTGGTAGGAATGTCAGACTGTGGTGAGAATGTCAGAATGATTTGGTGAGAATGTCAGATTTGGTGGAAACATCAGACTGGTGGGAATGTCAGAATGATTTGGTGGGAATGTCAGAATGATTTGGTGGGAATGTCAGATTTGGTGGGAATGTCAGACTGTGGTGGGAATGTCAGAACGATTTGGTGGGAACGTCAGAATGATTTGGTGGGAATGTCAGAATGATTTGGTGGGAAAATCAGACTCCGAAGGTGGCTATTCTCAGCAGGAGAAGCACTTCACTTACCACAGACTGACCAGGCTGCACCAAGACAGCGGGCACCTGTACCTCCAGCAAGGCACAACGGGTGGTGGGGTAGGCCTGGAAGGAGAGCACCACCTGGGCCAGGAGAGATGCTGTGGGAAACATACAGGGGTCAGCCAGGCCACAGGCCATGGGAAAGACCCTGCCAGGAAACAGCAGCTCTGCCAACTGGCTCCTTACCGTTTCTAGCCTCCTGGAGTTCAGAGTCGGACCTTTCCCCTTCTTCAGGCTCCTCCCAGCCCCCTGCAAGGAACAGAGAAGAGAGTAAAGCCCCGGTCAGACATCTTTTCTGGGCTGGTTCAGGCTGAGACTCCCTTCCAGAAATGCCATGACTGGTAAGCAGAGGTCTGGGAAAACAGGCTGACCTGGGGGTGCCTGGGCCAGGGTCTTGAACGTTGCAGATGCTCACAGAGTCTGCAGTCCCCAGGCCTTTCCCAGGCACTCTCGTATGTGCACAGTCACAGGATTCCTCACTCACCGTGTACAGCCAAGTGCACGACCACACGGACACAGAGGGCACAGTCGGTCTCCTGTGGACATCTCAGCACCAGCTCTGTCTGCAGGCTCGTGGGCACCAGCACAGGGCCTGGGGCAGACTCGAGGCTTCCAGGCAGGCAGAGCACGTCCCCATCTGGGTATGAAGGGTGCAGTGGGAACTGAGGCTGCTCAGAGCCTGCTTTGGCTTCTGATACCTCCAAAGGGTACGGGCGCTAGCTTGGCCTCTCGGGCTGAGGGTGGACATTCACTTTCCCTTCAGCTAGCCTGGAAGTTCTCTGTGTTAAAGTAGCAATACTTACCCCAGAGGTGGCAGGAAAGGCCCTGGGAAGGAAGGAAATGTCCGTTTATACCCCCCAAATCTCATCTTGACAAATCTCTCTTGCTTAACTACCCTACCTCTGCCGGGTGTTGGTGGTGCACGCCTTTAATCCCAGCACTCGGGAGGCAGAGGCAGTCGAATCTCTGTGATTCGAGACCAGCCTGGTCTACAAGTGCTAGTTCCAGGACAGGCTCTAAAACAACACAGAGAAACCCTGTCTCAAAAAAAACAAAAACAAAAACAAAAACCCAATCCTACCCCTGCCTACTTTTTTCTGGGGCTCCCATCCTAAGCCCTCCCCTGAAGACAAGACTACTTCTTGTCCCCTTACTCACTCATCCCCATCAGCACCAGACAGACCAGACAGGGCGGTTCTGATAGAGGCAGTGACAGGAGACAGGTTAGGGCTTTGAAGAGGCACAGCCTGAACTCTTAGCCTTCCCCAACTTCCCCAGGGCCCCAGACTCACTACAGAGCAGCGTGCAGTGTCCTGAGGTTCCACAAGTCTCTCCAGAGAAACCACCACGGGGCTCCGGCCCAGTGCCAAGGACAGCAGGAACCAGGACATTGGCATCTTCCAGGTGCTAGACAGCACCCAGGCCTGAGGCCCTGTCCTGCCCCCCAAAAGGGGGGCAGACACCCCACCCCTGCTGCCAATCAGCTCTGTGTCCCTGGGAGAGAACAAGGGCTAGAACTCCTCTCCAGCCTGGCTTTCCCACTCCGAGCCCTGACTCCCGCCCGGCCCAGTTTCAGCTGGAATGCTTTCGGTTTGACTCCCAGCAGGCAGCCGGCTGTTCCCGCCCCACCCTGTCCTGTCCCTCCCACTGACTCCAGGCTTTTAGCTTTGGACTGGGGTGGTGGCCTCTCCTCCTCCTTGACTGACACCTGGCCAGGAGGAGCACTGGGAAGGCAGCACAGCTGGAGTCTAGCTGAGTAAGGTAACATCCTGGATCTCACCAAATCAAAGACTACAATTGAGAAGACCCCCCCACCTCCCACCCGCACCCTGCGTTTCCACTTCCTGTATGACCCAAGATCCTAGAGACCTAGGTTCTTCAGATACTTCCCTGGACCTAAGTGACTGTGACCCGCCCAAAACAGGAGCTCTGAAGACAGAGGGCTGGTGCCAAAGGGCACCAGAAAGTGGGCTCCTCCCACTGCCTGGCCTCGGTTAAAGGGGATGGAAGGGCCGGCAGGGCCTGGGAGACCCAGAGCTCCCAGGGCTTCTGTTGTGCACTGGAGGAGGGGGATGGGCATGCTGCCTAGCCCAGCTTTGGTTTGCCTTTGCTCTCACAGGAATCAGTGAGGAAAGGATCCTCCTTGCCTTTCCCTGGCAATGCTTGTGGGAATGAGGCCACAGATGACAGACAATGTGAGTGTGAGGACTTGGGCTGGTGAGCTGTCCTTGGACAAGCCTAGGGCAGGCCCAGGCACACAGGAGCACCACACTGTGTTCCTTAGTTTATCTACTGTGTTCGCTTTGCTTTTATTCGTCTTTCTGGATGAGAGAAGATCCCCTCTCTCACCAATTGTGGTGGTTTAACCCTTTAATCCCAGCACTCAGGAGGCAGAGGCAGGGGGATCTCTTTGTTCCAGGCTATCCAGGGCTACACAGTGTATGTCTCAAACAAACAAACAAACAAACAAAAAATAAAACAGCAAAAATCAAGCCACCTCTGGATAGGGCCTCATTCTGGGAAAGGGTGATGGACCCCTAGTTTACAACGGGGGTGGGAGTGTCTCTCAACCCCACCGAGCAGAGCTACCCTCAAGACCTTGACAGATAGGACCTGCTTCCCAATCCTGGCCCAACTCTCCAGCCTGGACTAGAATGCATGGTACCAGTGGCTGTCTCTGCAGTTTCCAAAAAGAAATGGAAAAATTGTCTCTTCTCAGAAAAGGCCCAACTTTCTCTCAGGGACTCTGAGAGGGAGCAAATGTGAGAGGGAAGCTGGACAAGTTTGGGGCCTGGGGTGAGTCTTACAGTCTTGGGGGGCAAAAATACCCCCCAAAGAGTCCAAGTTTGAGGCCTCATTCCAGAGTTCCAGCTGTTGCTCCATAGGCTGTGGCTACAGACAACTGGGGCCACAGGGATGACCGGTTGAAGTGTGGTAGTCAACTTTGGCAGCGAGTTCCAGCCGGTGACACAGCTCCAGGCGGCTTTGCAAGCACTGCTTGGCCCCAATGTGACTCCGGCTGGTGGCTAGGGTGGCAGGCCGAGCATCCAGCGCCCTCAGCAGGCGTGGCAGGTCACGAAGCAGGCGGTAGCATGGCAGAGCGCGCAGAGGCTGGGGGATGTCGCCTTTGGCACAGAGGTGACTGAAGTAGGCAAGCAGCAGCCGGCATGGGGCAGCGCAGAGCAGGGTGCGAAAGGACGCAGGGTGCTGGTCACCGCTGCCGGCGGGGCTGGGGCCTGCACAGTTCCACAACAGCAGCACCGTGCCCTGTTCCCGCACCACGCGCTCTCGCGCCGCCCAGAGCCATGGCAGTGGTCCAATGCGTGCCACGCGCGTCCCCTCCCAGAGATCCACGATGACATCGCGCCCGCCGCCCAGCGCGGTTCGCAGCAGTTCGGCTAACGCTCCCACCAGGCGCCGCTGCGCTTCTGAGTCGGCTGCGTGCAGTAGTAAAATTGGCCGCGCTTGGCCTGGTCCTGGGGACCCAAGCAACAGCTGAGTAGGGTGAGGGGCGGGGGAGGGGGTAGGGAGAGCACAGTCCTCTCCTAGAGGCCTCTGACCTACACTCTAGGACGCCCTGCACTCTGTATCCTTTATTCATTCCGGGAGTCAGTCCCCAAAACTGCTGAGCCTAGTTGGTGCTTACAGGCTAATGCAGCAGGCTGGATTGTAAACACCTCCCCACCCCCACTCCCATCCCTACCCTCGCCTCTAGCCAGCTTGGTGGTACGGATAGGACCTGCACCCACAAGCCCTTTGGCCTGTCTTAACAATTCCTGCCCAATAGGGAATGTAAGAATAGCAGGCTGTGCTTTGTCCCTAGCTCGGTCAAGAAGGGCTGGGAATGTCTAAATCTCTGGCTATCCCAAGTGAACTTACCTGGCAGTAGGCGCCTACAGAGGAGGACCAGAACTACACCCAGTAGAGTGGTGAGGCCCAGCAGTGCCAGGATCAAGAGACCCAGGTGTCTATGAGAGACTGAATCAAGCAGAGTGAAGCCAAGCCATCTCTTCAGTGCCCCAACTCCCTCTCCTCTCCTCCCAGAACTCACCATCAGGACACAATAGGTGCTTCCAGGCAAACTGGACATCTGACCTCCACACCTGAGGACACAGGGCCCCCACTCAGGTGAGCTAGAGCACCCCTCCTAGGGAAGGAGTCCCCAGTGGCCTACAAATTCCTCCAGCTCCAGTTTTGTGTCTGGTACAATCCCTGGACTGACACAGACCAGCCCAAGATGGCAGATGCCAGTGAGACCAGAGTGACCCCACAGTAGGCCTGGCCTATACAGCACAAACCAGCTGAGTTAGTCAGCCACACTGAGTGCTAGGCCTTGTCACCATGCCTTGTGTACACACACAGCACCGAGTTTTCTCATGTTTTTATGGGAAGGCAAAATAGCAGGGTTTTGTTTTGAAGATAACATGTAACTAGTGACCACTAATTCCAATTTAAAGCACTTGGCCTAATCAAACACATTTATGGACTCTGTGCCAGCGGATCTGTGAGGAGTGAGGGGAGGATTTCTTACCAGGATGCAGCTCCCTGGCCTCAAGAAGGGAATGATGAGATCAAAAGTCACTGGAACTGAGCCCTGGGTCTGTAGGGACAAAGGGTAGAATGGTTGTCTCCAACCAGGCAAATCTGATAGGTCTCATCCATCTCTATCCTACACAGGTAAAGAATCCAATATCACCTCCAGAAGTCTTCCCCAGTCACCCCAAGCATCACCAATTCTCCCCAGATATTAACTGCTACAGCTGAGCTAACATCACACACACACACACACACACACACACACACACACACACACACAGTGCTGCCATGAGAAAGAAGGCAGGCACAGCCACTGTCTTTGTCCTGCGGCATGTGTGCATCTCCTCGCTTCCTTACACAACTGAGGAGGCATCTTGTCCACTGAGAAGAGTGAGCTGTGGAGGCTAGGGGCCTAGGTTGAGGCTTCTATTGCCTTTCTAGTTCCCAGGTTTATGACCTTTCCATGGACTCAGATTTTTTATTTGTATATGAGGGACAGTAATCTTTAGTGGGTTACTGGAAGCATTAAGTGGAAATATGCGTATGGATGCTTTTTAATAAACTGGTAATGTTAAAAGCAGTCGTTATGTGGCTAAGAAAATGGGAACAAAGCCTGTACTGTAAGCTCTTCTTATATCTCTTGGTGCATAATACAGGGTGGGCACAGAGCAGCACTTGGGAAATGTGTACTGAACTGAAAAGAACTGATTGTTGTCTATGATGATACCTGGCTCCACTCTGTGCTCCACATGTTAATGATGGGGTTGACCAGTTGTCTCTACCCTTTAGTAGTGCCACTCACCTACTCTGTACCCCTCACCTGCTTGACTGCACTCTCAAGGCAACAGTCAAGCAGATAGATACTCTCAGACCTTAAGTATTTGCTACCCCCTGTCTGTGTGGGAACCCACAGGACTCCAGCTGCAAGGGAACTTTTAAGGAAGAACTGTAGAGAACACAGGATGCTGGGTCAGCTTAGCGCTGTGGTTTTGCAACTGTGGTTTTTAAATCACATACACAGAACAAAGTTGGCTAATCAACCTGTTCTTAGCATGATGGAGTTATACCAGAGCAGTACCGTACTGTGAGCCCTTCAGCTTCTAGGGGTCTCTTGAGAGGTGGTGAATATAAATTTAAAAAATAAATAAATAAAAACAGCCCCCATAGGCCCATAGGGAGTGGCACTATTAGGAGGTGTGGCCTTGTTGGAGGAGGTGTGTCATTAGAGACTGGGCTTTGAGGTGTCAGATGCTCAAGCCAGATCTAGTGTGTGGCACTTTCACTTCTGCTATCTGTGGATCAAGACACAGAACTCAGCTACCTCTCCAGCACCATGTCTGCCTGCCTGCCACCATGTTTCCCACCATGACAACAATGGAGTGAACCTCTGAACTGTAAGCCAGTCCCAATTAAGTTTTCCAGTCAGGCGGGTGGGAGTAGCACGTGCCTTTAGTCCCAGCACTTAGGAGACAGAGGCAGGAGCATCTCTGTGAATTTGAGGCCAACCTGGTTTACATAGTGAGTTCCAGGACAGCCAGGACTACACAAAGAAACCCTGTCTCTAAACACACATCCCCCAAATAAGCTTTCCTTTATAAGCATTGCCATGGCCATTGTGTCTCTTCACAGCAATAGAAACGCTAAGACAGTGAGCTTGTACACAAGTGCCTTGTGAAGGCCTGACACCTGGCAGAGCTGGGGTGGGGGTGGCATCAATGTACAATGTAGGGCTGAGGAAATGACTCACTAACTGCATTTTCTGTGCAAGCATAAGCACCTGAATTCAAATCCCAAGCACCCAGATTTTAAAAAAGACAAAAAGCCAGGTGGTGGTGGTGCACACTTTTAATCCTAGCACTTGGAAGGTAGAGGCAGGTGGATCTCTGATTTTGAGGCCAGTCTGGTTTACATAGCGAGTTCCAGAATAGTCAGGGTTACCCAGGGAAACCCTGTCTTGGGGAGAAAAAAAAAGCCAGGCATGGCTGTATATTCATGCAATCCCATAACTGGGGATCAGAGACAAGGGAATCCCAATAGCTCACTGGACTTCTACTCTGGCTGAAAACAGTAAGCTCCAGGTTCAGTGAGAGACCTTGTCTCAAAGGAATAAGATGGAAATGAATAGAGGACCTCTGGACTCTTCGTTGACACCTACAGGCATGAATGCACATCTATACCACACACACAATGTGGCAGCCGCTTCAGTGGGCGAGAGAATAGCTGAAGGGGGGAGTATCAGGGCTGCATTCTCTCTGAATACAGCACCTGGGCTGCAGTCTCTCTGAAAATGGAGAGCTGAAAGGCTTAGGAGCTCCCTCATGAAGGACCCCCACGATTGACAGAGGACCAGTGATCCAAGACTGATCAAGTAAATAATGTGTGACAGGTGCTAGCATGCAGGCTTTCTTTTTTGCCTCCACCCACCCAGAGTGTGCCTCGCAGAAGTAACAGGGAGGCCAAGGGAATCTGGTGGGAATCAAACCCTAGCTACGCCATACCTGGCTGATGCTGTACACAGGCGGCACCAAGGCATCCAGTCCCAAGTCTGGGTTACTCCAGGCAGCACTGAAGGTAGCATATGTTGTCGAGGAAAAGCGCAGCGTCAGTTGTTGGCCCTGGGTATCCATGCTCACAGACCAGGATGGAAGAGACCCTGTTTGTGGGAGGTGATCAGAGCTGGACGTGGAGGTCACAGGTGAGTGAGGGTGAGATACGGAAGAAGGGATTCTTTCTCAACTCACCACTCTGGTGGGGACATTCGATATGGCTGCTGTTTTCAAAAGAAAACTGAAAAAAAACCACAGTCACCAAGATTCAATCCCATCCCTCCCTCTCCCCACTGCCAGCCCTCTGCCCATGCTTGTACCTTAAAGCAGAGCTGGGGGTGCAGGTCCACATTCTCCAGGACATACCACTGTTAAGGAGAGGGGAGTTAGTCAGGAAGAAGGTCCCTGGGCCCCAACCCTGACCACTTCAATCTGGAGGGAGGGGGCTGTCCTTACTCCTTCTGACTCCTGGGCTGTGGCATTGGGGAGGGTTTCACAGGGCAAGAGTGGGTCCCGCTGCTGGCAGAGGGAGGCCTCTAGTTTCAGTGGGCAGCGGAGCGTCAGAGCCATGACCATCTGATTGTGCAGGCTGTAGTCAGTGAAATGTACTGACTTCCAGAAGTCCGAGCCATCTGGAAGGTGGCAGGTGCAAGGGTGAGGCCATAGCCCAGCTGTAACTCCCATCTCCCCACCCCCCACCCCAGGGCACCAGGAAAAAATACCAATGTACCAGCACAATGCCAGGCTTCACAGGTTCTCAACAGGCAAGCACTCCCTTTCTACCCAGCCTCCTTGGCTTTACCTTTCCATCTGGGCCTCCATACTGAACATCCCTTACTGTAGCCCGTACTCAGAATCTGTGTAGGCTCCTTGCAGAGTCTAAATGTCTTCTCCCCTGCCTCTTCTTTCTAATTCCTGTCCATTTCCTGAGCTCAGCTCAAGTGCCAGCACCTGTGACACCCTCTCTGCTCACAAGAATCCCTGGGCTTCTCCTTGGACTCATGCCCTTGATGACAACCCTGCCTACATACGCAGGCTTTGTGTTACTTGTGTCTGAGTGTCCTCTCTCCTCAGTGTCACCATTGTACATGTAGCACTCCAGACAACATCAGCCACTTTCCCCTAAAATATTTCATTCAAGCATCAAAAACAGTTTTAGATTTTACAGGTGAGGGAAAGGGGGCTGTGGGGTGAGCCTAGGTCTATAGTTGGTCCTCTCACACACTCCCGGGTGATCTTTTCCATTCATAATATTCAGCACTCAGGAGCTCATCTGCAGGCTGACAGCTAGACACTGTGGCACTTTCTCCCTGGCTCCAGAAGAAAATGTCCTTATGCCATCTGGGGTCTTCCTCCATCACACACACACACACACACACACACACACACACACACACACACACACACACACACACACACACACGCACGCACGCGCGCGCGCACACGTGCACAACATGAGGGAGTATGAATGTGCATCAGGATTAATATAAACAACTCACAGGCTTCAGGCCAGCTCTGGAAGGGACACTTTTTGCGTCTCACAGTGTCCTCCTGCAGGTAGGAGGCCTGGGGAGCACAGACAGTGTCAAGGAAATGGCTTTTCTATTTATTTATTTATTTGGTTTTTCGAGACAGGGTTTCTCTGTGGCTTTTGGAGGCTGTCCTGGAACTAGCTCTTGTAGACCAGACTGGTCTCGAACTCACAAAGATCTGCCTGCCTCTGCCTCCCAAGTGCTGGGATTAAAAGGCGTGCGCCACCATCACCAGGCTGGAAATGGCTTTTCTAACATCATCATCCAGGCTCTGGCTTACTGTCATGAAACAGCTTGAGCTGTTGGACACTAATGGGGAGTGCTGTGGAGTGTGGGTAAGGGTTGGGGTTCCAGAGCATAGGAGAGAATGGCAAATGAGGGACTGACTCATCCTGTCTCCAAAGAACTGTTCCCAGCAACAGAGAAATCCCGAGGTCACATCCCTCAATTTTAGGCTTTCTGACCTCCTTTCTTGGCTTTCTTAAGGTAGCCAGTACCCTGTGTTGACTCCTCACTCTGGACTCCCTAAGAGTCCAGTCCACTGCTTGTCCCCTCTGGCAGTTTCTTGTTTCCCAGGTCTCAGTCCACACCCTCCTTTTAGTACCTGTCTTCCCCCTAAAAATGTCCAAAACATCTTTATCTTCAGGCTTACAAGGAGAGATGTTGAGCTGGAAAAAATATGACTTTGAGAGGAATATGCAACCTTGGCTCTCAACACAGCGATGGTGGCTGTTTACTCTGTGTCTGTGAGATGAAGCCAAATCTGGACCAGAGAAGGCAGCACCCAGGCAGGGCTGAGGTGGAATTGCCTAGGACCCTTCCACCTCTGGTGTGGCTCATAGCCTAGCCAGCACCAGCTTCCTAAGTATCCCGGTAGCCTGGTCCTTTTGGAGTCTCCTTAGTGCTGTACGGCTTGCTTTATCACCAAATCATCTCCATCCTCCCCTAGTCCTTCGTAAGTTGACTTACTGGAGATGCGGTTGGACAAGGAGCCATGGCTAACCCATATTTCCCTGTGCTCACCTCTATACACATGCAGGGCAGGAGGAATTCATACGGCAGGTCTGCAGTGTGGCCCCCGGACACAATTTTCTGTTGATGAAACCACAAAGGGAAAGAAAAAGAGACACCTAAGGAAAAGCATGGACACTGCACAAGGCAGGATGAAGCTGGGACCTTGGACAATATACCTCACTTTCCTACTCCATGAAACTTACTTCTCCCTCTCACAGGTTCTTGAGGTACTCTACAAGCAGTAGGGGTAGGGAAAGGGCTATACATTTCTTGAGCTCCAGCTGTGTGCCATGCAGAGTTAGAAGCTTCAACTCTACTAAAGGCTGGATCACCAGGAAGTTAGAAGGTATAGCCATTGTAGACATGAAGCAAGCTGAAGGACTCCAGTCTCTGCACCTGATGCCCAGCTATGTCCTCATCTGTGAAGAGTGGCAGTTGAAGTAGGCTGCTAGGACCTGGACTGTGAGATTGGGGAATATCGTTTCTGAGGGCTAGACAAAAGGTGTGAAAGGGAAGAGTACCAAGACACATGTGACAGCTTTGTTAAATTGTCAGGGAGCAATCTCCTGAAGAAATGACAAAGCTTTCTTTTTTTTCTTAAGACTCGCGTATCCCAAACTGACCTCAGACTCATTATATGTCCAAGGAAGACTGAAATTCTGATCCTCCTGCTTCCACTCCCACCCCTCTGTACATGCCAGAGACCAAGCATGCCTGGTAAGCAGTCTACCAAAGGGTATGTCCCCAGCCCTTAGCAAAGTCTCTTAATTTGACCCTAATCACACCAAGAGTCCTCTCCCTGGCAATACAGACCATTCTCATTCCTTTCTGGTCTCTCTTCTCAAGTAACATAGCCTGCCACCTTTTCTTTTTTTTTTAATTTTTTTTTTTTGGTTTTTTGAGACAGCCTGCCACCTTTTCTATCTAGTCCCCCCCCCCCCCAAGTTTTTAATGCTACTTATCTCACTTTATAAGGAAGTTTTGGACAATTACTTTCCTTGTCTGGGTCCCAGTCTCCACCACCACCATCCCATTTGCTGAGAGATTGTGTAATCTATCTCTTTGCAGGACATGGAACTCCATACCTGGGTATCAAAGGGACTGCTCATGTCTTCACATTCCAGTGCCCACTGGTAACAAAGACGCACGCTAGCCTCTGGGCCTGGAGGAATAGTCACCCGAATAGCCTGTGCCTCCAGCAGCAAATCAAAGGAGAATTCAGGTCCTAGGAAGAAGGAAGACTCAGAGACCCTGGCTCAGGCAAGGCTGAGACCACCCACTGTTGCTCCTCACACCTACCCCCATGATTCTGTGAACCTGCTCCAGGAAAATGTTCTACTCCTCCTGCATCTGAAGGCTGGGTCCTTTTGCAGCGTGGCCCTCTGTGGGAGAGGGCTGGGAAGGGGCTTGAAATGCTATGGCCTTCCCAAGACAGGGAAAGGCTTCCTAGCAGCTTCCTCTGCAAGCAGAAAACAAAGTGGGGTTAAGCCAGGATCCAGGAAGTCTGCTTTCCAACTCTGCCTTTGAACCTGGAGAGACAAATGATTCAGCATGCAAGTTGTTCAAGTTCCTTTGGCCTCAGTTTCCCTTACTGTGCAATCTCCACATTTTCAAACTCCCCCTTGTATCTGGAGAACAAAAAAAGGGGCAAGAAAGAAAGGGGTTGTGGGTCATAGGGTAGTAAATGATAGGGTACCTGGGAAGATGCTGGTGTTCCATGCCTCCAATAGAATTCAAACTTACGAGGACTTTTAGATTTCTTCACCAAGAGAGGGAACCAGCCCCACTGAAGGCCTGTGGAAGGGAGACACACTTCTTACCTGGGCATTCTTGGCCCCTGTCCTACCTGGAGCTGTGACCCAATGTTGGATAGAAAGTCTATAGAAATCAAGGACAGCGGGGGCTGGAGAGATGGCTCCGGAGGTTAAGAGCACTGGTTGCTCTTTCAGAGGTCCTGAGTTCAATTCCCAGCAACCACATGGTGGCTCACAACCATCTACAATGAGATCTGGTGCCCTCCTCTGGCCTATAAGCAGACATGCAGGCAGAACACTGTACACAGAATAAATAATAATAAGAAGAAGAAGTCAAGGACAGCAATGATATTGAGCTTCTTTGGTGGCAAAAATTATGATCCAGTAAAAAAGGAATTAAGCTGTTCATCGAAGACAGGGCAGAAAGAATGAGAGCCAGAAGATGTGTAGAAGTGCTTTGAAGTCTTGTAGACATGGCATGGCTGTCCTGTTCATGAACCCACTGCAGCTGTGGTTACCTGCACACGGTCAAGCCAATGAGATCAGTCAACATTCCAGAAGGCAGACTTCATAGCTGGACTCCATGAGTTATAAAACACACAGAGCAAGGCATGGTTTTATACTTGTATTGAGAAGCAGAAGCAGGCTGATCTCTTGATTTTGACGCCAGCCTGGTCTACTCTGCAAGTTCCAGGTGAGCCAGGACTACACAGTAATCCTCTGTCTCAAAAAGTTGAGGGCTGTGTGTGTGTGTGTGTGTGTGTGTGTGTGTGTGTGTAAGGATGGAGCAGCAGTTCAGAGCACTTACTGTTCTTAGATTTGGGATTAGTTCCTAGCACCCACATGGTGGCTCACAGCCATCTATAACTCCAGTGCTACAGGGATTTGATGCTTCCATGGGTACTACATGAATGTAATACACATATATCCATGCAGGCAAAACAATCATATACATAAAATCTTAAAGAAAGACATGAATGTGGAACAGTGATGTGCTGGGAATTATCCAAGGGAATGGGAGGGAGGAATTGTGGGTGGTTTTGACCAAGATGGATTGTCTGTGTGTATGAGACTGTCAAATAATAAATAAAAGATATTCTTAAATCTTTAGGCTTATTTATTTTACTTTATGTGCATGAATGCTTTACCTGCACATATGGATGTGCACCATGTGCATGCCTGGTGCTTGCTGTGGTCAGAAGAGGGCACTGGACTCCCTAGAACTAGAGTTACAGATAATTGTGAGCTACCATGAGGTTGCTGGGAATCTAATACAGATCCTCTGGAAGAGCAGCAACTGTTCTCAACAACTGAGCCATCTCTCCATCTCTAACAAAAGATATTTAAAATAAATAAAACAAGGAAAAAAGACACGCACAAACACACACACACACCTCCCACAAAAGCGGTGTTGTTAATTGTAGCATGACTTCTTTCTTTCTTAGGTTTTTTGTTTTGTTTTTTGAGACAGGGTTTCTCTGTGTATCCCTGGCTGTCCTGGAACTCACCCTGTGGACCAGGTTAACCTTGAACTCTGAGATCCACTCACCTCTGCCTCCTGAGTACTGGGATTAAGGGTTGTGCACCACCACCACCACCACCACCACCTTCTATAGCATGATTTCTAATGGTAAAAACTTTTAAACTAACTTTTTGTGATTTTATGTTTAATTACTTGCATGTATATATATGTGTGTGTGTATTTATGTATGTATGTATGTTATGTATTGGCACATACAATTGAGGCTTAAGAGATTAGAAACATCAGATTCTTTGGAGTTAGAGATACCTACAGTTCTGTATGCTGCCTGATATGGGTGCTGGGAATTGAACTCAGGTCCTCTGCAAGAGCGTCTAGTATTCTTAATGGCTGACCTACCTTTCCATCTCCCTATGACTGCTAGTTTTAGAGTGTGTACCTATCAAGGCAATGCTGCAGCAGAGTGACAGTCCCATTTTACAGAGGGAAAGTAACAATAGCAAGTCTATAGAACACATGACTTTAAGGAATTGGTGCCAGATGAAAAATGGCATCTCCATATAGATATAGTGGTCCCATGAATGTCTGTCATGCTGTGCATTCTAGGATGCTCTAAGTCCCTCTTGAGGTTAACAAGACATAAATATGTCCCAATATAACAATTGACACTTGTGTCAGTCTAGCTAGTGATTTTCAACTGTCCCTAATTCATGCCTTCACTAAGAATGACTTAAGGGCTGCCTTTCCTACCTGAAGGATGTGACACCAGACGCAGGCACAAACAACAGCAGAGCCAGTGCCAAGGCTTCGTGGCTAGGAGGACAGGGCAGGGAGTTTGGGCAGAACTTCCTGTGTAAGATAAAAAGTCGGCACAGTAACACATGGCTGTAAGCTATTCCTTGGGGGGCTGAGATGGGAGGACTGAAAGATGGAGGCAGTTGGATGGCCTTTAATCCCAGCACTCGGGAGGCAGAGGCAGGCAGATCTCTGTGAATTCATGGCCAGCCTGGTCTACAAAGTGAGTTCCAGGATAGCCAGGACTACACTGAGAAACACTGTCTTGAAGAACCAAAAATAGATAGATAGATAGATAGATAGATAGATATAGATAGATAGATAGATAGATAGATAGATAAAAGATGGAGGCTTTGGTATTACATAGTGAGACTCTATCTCAAAACAACAACAAAAGGAACAACAAGAAAAACAGTAGGGCCTAATGGGGTCCCACCTACCTTCTCCAAACTGGATTTAAGGCTGGGCTCTGACATACCTTACAAGTACAATCTTGGTTAAGTTATTGGGCAGGTGCCAGACTGCTCATTCATCAAGTCATAAGGACCAAGTAACATAATGATGGGGAAAGCAGAATGTACAATAAAGTGTGAAAGATTATTGTTCCTGGTCAAGTACCGGTGATAGGAAGAGCCAGCTTGTCCAGAGTGCCTGGAGATTAGCCATGGCTCTCATTTTATGCTCCCCATTGGCAGGAAGCAACACTATCATCATCACATAATCCTTTCTCCTCTTCTGTGCTCAGAGGCCGAGGGTCAGATGGAGAGTGAAAAGCAGTCATGGAGTCTGAGGGAGAATTGCAATGCAAATCTAGACAAGTCCTGCACTTTCCCGTTGATGCTAGACTACTCTCCAGGTTGGAAACCAAAATGGCCATGGACGGCTCACTGGGACCTGGAACTCAGGGGAGCATGGGGAGAGAAGCAGAACAAGAAACAAGACTCACCAGCAGAAGTCTTATCCTGAAGGTACAGGGCCCAGTGGGGAAAAGAGAGGAAAGAGGTGTCATTAGAAGAGACCTGCAGGAGGTGCATGCTCCCTGAACTCTGTGTCAATCATCCAGTTCTGAGACCCACAGCTCACTGTCCATCCACGGCAGCTGCTTACTTCTCAGTTCCACCCTTCCAAGGACCTCAGCCCACCAGAACCTTCTCAGTCCCTTCAGGACCCCATCGTGGACCCAGTGAGGCCGCTAGAGCACAGGGATTTCAGGGGTAGGAAAGGGCGGGCAGGAGACTGGACTGGGGAGTCCTACTCTGTGCCAAGCAAGTGTCCCCCACCTAGCAGCAGGACCTTACCACATGGGAAGCCAGTAGACAGCGGCTGGTCCAGCGGGGCAGGTAGGGACAGCCAACCTCAGCAGCCGCAGACAGGCTAAAGAGCAGTAAGAGGAGAGGCAGGAACAAGGTTGCCAATCTGGGGCTCCCCATGAGCTTCTGCAGGATCAGGGCACAGAGACCATGGCTTTGTTGTCTGCAGGAGGGCAGCAGGGCCTGGCCCTGGAGCTGTGAGGAGCACACAGTACCAGCAGGCGCTCTCACACAGCCCTGCCCTGGATCCACCCTGCCCCGAAGCTCCTCCTCTATCCTAACCAGCAGGCTGGGTCACATTCCTTCTCCTGAGCCAGGGCACTAGAGAACACTTATTCACTTGTCCACCTGTTTGGTAGAAAGCCTTATTGCTCTCACGTCACGGGGGCTCTTGGTGTAGCGGAGAGTTAACAGGAAAGGGACCAGCACCCTGAGATGCACCCATTTCTTAACCCTTCCCTCAAACACTGCAGGTCTGACATGCCTATTAGCAAGCTCTAGAACTTGGATCTGCCATAGACAGTCACACATCTTTCATTTTGAGAATTAACAGCTTTCTGCAATTGTCTACACTGCATGCTGAAGATAAAGAAATGATTGGTGCATCATTTAAAATAAGCAAAAATAAGCAAACATATAATACAAACAAGCCTCCTGTGTTCCCCATGTGCACTCTGGCTCCCGCCTGGCTGGTTTTCCAACTCTTCTCGACTCCAGGTCAAAGTGGTCTCTAGCTTCAAGGACCAATTAAATAATACAGCTTGTTCAGGAAGCCCCAGAACTGACAGTTGAGCTCTGGAGCAGAGGGAGCAGCCCCACACATTGACCTGGTTTCCTGCGGTTTCCGGGGCAGGAAAAAGGCTGACAAGGCTCCAGGCTTTGTGGGGATCCTCCCCGTCATCTCAGCTTCCTCTCGTTCATGGAACACTTGAGCTGCTTCAACCCTCACCTTGGCAATGTCCATGATAGAAGGAGAATTAAGAGCATGTCCACTGGGTCAATGCATCTTGGTATTGCTATTGTCTCTGCTTTTTAAGTTAATTAAAAACATTTAGGAGTGTGTTTGTGTGGGTATTGTATGCATGTGTGGGCAGATGTGCTTGCAGGCCCACGTGGAGGCCAGAGGTGTGTCTTCCCGATTTATCTCTACCTTGTTTTGAGACAGGATCTCTTACTGAACCTAGACCTTGATGTCTCAGCTAGGCTGGTGGGGAGGCAAGCCCCAGGATCCACCTGTCTCCTCTACTCAATACTGGAGCTACAGGTATATTCTGCCATGATCTGGTATCATGCTGGTGCTGGGGACCAGAACTCAGGTCCTTGTGTTTATGCAGCAAACACTTTATACACTGAGCCATCTCTCCAGTCCCAATATTATCAAGACAGGTTCTCATGTATCCTAG